GACATCCTTGGTCACACAAACAGAAAAATACCTACAGCTATTAAAGCACCGGCATGGTTTTTGTAGAAAGGTGTTTTGTCTGTGCTTCTAAAATAGGACCGCAGCTTAGTCGGAAAGCATTGTTCATATTGCTCACATTTCCATCACTTCCTTAGCTTGGAAGGCGTGCTTTCATACCCTGAATGCCTCGTGGGAAAGAGCCTGGTGCGCAGAAACAGCTCCCAGTGCTTCATTAATTATTGTTCAGTAGAAAAGAACACACCAGTTAGTTTAACCAGTCTCTATTTTCTGCCATTGAGTATAGTTCATGTGGGAATGATATACAAAAAAAAAGTAAAAAAAAATAAATAAGATAAAAAAAACCACATTTTGTGTCACAGAGAATAAAGGGGGAAAATAAGTATTTTAAATCAGTTGTTTCCTCAAGAAGAACAATCACTTAAAATTACTCATTTTGTTAGTCCCAAGATAATAACACATAAGAGTCAATTAAATTCTGTAGGCACAGTAGGTAGAGATCATTTTAATTGACTTTTATTATTGTAGCCTGGGGTATGTTCAAAAGATTATCATTTACTCTGCGCAACTGTACAGAATGTATCGCTATAGTGAGCTGTAAAGCTGAAGTAATATGACTCATTGTTTCTGGCCCCTGGGTGGTCAAACCGCTCAGTGAGATGACTCATTCTGCCATTTTAAAAAAGAAATTTTATAAATACCTGTAAAAAGTGGCAATGAAATTTCCACTTGGAGAGCCCTCCCCTAGCCTGGGAACTGGGGGTGGGTAGTTTTGCATTAAGTAATGACATCATTTGAAAAGGTTTCGATAGTTCTTGGCTCCATCTTAAGGCTGTGCCCAGTTGAGATAAGAATCACAACAGGACCATCCAGACGGCTCTGCGGCCATGCCTGACAATGTGTGTTCAAGCCACAGGACCCACACAGTTGAAGGTTGAAGGATAGAACAACTCCCTGGAGATGACCTTTGACCTACACATACACACAGATGCACAGACACACAGACACACCCTGACATGCAATTATCCACACACATACACACAAATAAATGCAATAAGATAATCGCAATCGGCTATAAAAAAAAAAAAAAAAAAAAAAAAAACTAAGAAAATACAATAGTTTAGTAACACTTGGGAACCAGCTGGTTTCCACTCAAATACTTGACCAGAAAATAGGGCTGGGCTCCGCACTACAACTGTTCTGTAATTTGAGATTAGCCTCTTACAGCCTGCATTAGACACAGTCTAAGTGACTGCAGAGGTCTGCATCAATCTGCCAAAGTTACCGTAACAAGGAGCCCCAACCCTTCAAGTTGGACATTCAGAAGGTTTTCTCATGAAATGTGCTGGATGAGACAGACGATCTACCCATCATTTGTAGGACAGAAAAGACATCCACAAGAGACAAACAGATCTGAAGTTGGCCTGCAGCCACTGGAATATTGACAGTTTATTACTATCTCTCTCCTAATCAAGCCTACCTCCTTCCTGACTACCCAAGACCTCTCCAAGAACAAGGAACCTTAGATGCTGGCATAGCTTTTATTGGCTCCTACAATCCACCAGTGATACTGCAGTCACTTAGGCCATCACCTAATCACCATAGTTTCTAGTCCATGGTAAGAAAACAAGTGCTGATAGAGAAGACGTCAGCAGACAGATCCTTCAGGAAAGACGGTGTGGAGAAGGGACCCAGAGCAGCCACGGCTCCATTTTCATTATGCCACACTGGACTTGAGGTCACAAGATGAGACTTTGCCATCATCACAGCCCAAGCCCAGATTCTGTCTTTGCATTCTCAATGGAATGACACTGGCCGATTCTTAACCCTATTAGTCCCAGGCTCCCCACTTATAAGATGGAAATAACAGAATCCTACACAACACAGCACAGTGGCCGCCCCTGGGAAGCGCTCAGTCAGTTTGAGTGTACGCAGCCATTACTGCATGCTCACTCCACAGCAGCCATTATTACAGCACTGCCATTATTTCCAGACATGAGACTGTAAGTTTACACTTTAAATTCATTGTAACATCTATTTAACAGTTTTTGTTTCCTGAAAAAGAGCGCTTTCTCACCATTCGATATTTTTAGAAATGCCACTCTCTGCAGTCTTAGTGTCCTCTCAGTCATGGAACACTGGGACATTTCCATGATCGTTCATGTTGTATGTGATTCTCTGTTGGCATTGCCTGATTTGCATGTTCTTGGCTTACTTTTTCATCATGTCTACTATTTCAAATCCAGGGTCCTCATTGAAGATCTTCAGAAAGCTGTGGAAAATGAACACAGCTTGCAAACTCAGAGAAACAGAAGGTCCCTGTCTGAATACAACTATGAGGTCTATCACTCCTTAGAGGAGGTATGTAATCAAAGGACCTTTAAATGTCATTCTTGGTTTTTTTTAAAGGTTTACTTATTATATATACAATGTTCTGTCTGCATGTATACCTGCATGCCAGCAGAGGGCACAAGATCTCATTATAGATGGCTGTGCAGCACCATGTGGGTGCTGGGAATTGAACTCAAGACCTCTAGAAGAGCAGCCAGTGATCTTAACCCATAAGCCATCTCTCCAGCCCTGTTGTTGTTGTTTTCAAGTTCATCTTTGTTGTTCTGGTATAAGGATTAGAGAGCATTGTGAAATCAGACACGCAGACTCCGGGAAAAACATACAGAATGCTCTACAGTTTGGGGCCCCTGGTTCACACATCTCTTCGTTGGTCCTTTTACTACTAAATAAGAAGTATCAGAGTAATGGGCCAGAGAGCTATGAGAAGAGCACTCGCTGCTCTTGCAGAGGGCCCTGGTTCGTTCGGGTCCCAGCACCTCCAGGGTAGCTCACAGCTGCTGTAACTCCAGTTCAAGGGAGTCCAATGCCCTCTTCTGGCTCATCCAGCAAAGGTGACTTACAACATACACACATGCAGGCCAAGCACGGGTACACATAAAATAAAATAAAATGAAATACTGGCATAAAAAGAGGTCGTAAAATAATTCACATCGTACTTCACCCAAATAAACCCCACAAAGTACACGGGAAATACATGAACAAGGAGGTAAGTGTTAAAATCAGGGCTATAAAGACCTTAACTAACAAGCCATGGAAGGACATAGCTAACCAGAGTTTGAGGGCAGCGCGTTGGCTGAGGGACACTGTAGACTTTCATACTACCCTTGCAGCCTTGCAAATTTTAGACTCCCAACAGCCACTGCATGAGCCACACCTCTGCTCATACCGTCACAGAACCCACGTGGAAAAGTCACAGCAATCCTGACCTCATTGCCACATGCAAACTTAATCTTTACCCGACAACTCACCATTGTTCACATTCCAGCTAAGACAAGCAAGACAGTCTTTGTTCTGCCAGGCTACATAGAAGCCTCCCTCTGCTCCCCAAATCCCAGTGTGTCCCAGTGCCTCTGGCACACAAATGTGACACCGTACACAGGTCACACTATGACAGGGGTTGACTGACACCCTCTGTGCAAAAAGAAATCTGCATGTTCTATGAGGACCAAGCATTTACTATGTTCACTATTAATCCCCAACACAGGCTAAGACGCCTCCAAATACAGATACCGCTGGCAGAATAAAGGGATATATATTTTTGCATGTTTCCTCTACATTCAACAAAGGAATTCCAGACACAAAATTAGTGAGATTCTACTATATTATTAAGAGTATTTTTCATTCTGCTCACGATAATTCTCCCTTCAAAATTCCTTTTGCATATTTCCATGTCTCAACATACTTTTCAGAAACTTGAAATTAAAAGCTATAAAAGGTTTCAGATAAGTTGTTGACACATGGAAGCATACTAACACCCTAGAAAAAAAGTCAAATTTCAAGAATAGGTGTATCTATGTATGTGCATAAATATAGGCACACATGCATATATATACATATATATGCACAGTATATATACATATATACTGTGTATATATATATACATAAATATATGTGTATATGTATATATATGTATATATATGTGTGTGTATATATATATATATCTCCTGCTTGTTAGATTATATAAGAATAGAAGGAAAATATGAGTACTTCCAAAATATACTTCTATATTCTTTCGGCAGAGCCCCTCTCGCATCATGGGACAGTGGGGACTTCCATCATGTGACTTCTTTGTTGCTTACAGGGCTTTTAAGCCAGAAATGTCACCCATCTTTCTCGGCACATATTTTATCTATCACAAATATACCTTCTTCTGATGACAGACAAGTGTGTGTGAATGGACTGATGCAATGTGCACTCCTCTAGAGGAATTATACAGAATATGCCTTCCAGTGGCTCAACAGAGCACCCTTAAATGCGGTGCTTTTGCTCTGTCCCAAACTACGATGTATGAGACTTTAATGGCTCTCAAGTTATTTGGAGGGTTTAGCAGAAGCTGTCTTCCTTCCTTCCTCCCTCCCTTCCTTCCTCCCTCCCTTCCTTCTTTCCTTTTCCTCTTTCATACCTATGGAGAAATGGAAATAAAATTGGATGTTTCAAAAAGAAAGCCACACCAGGCAGTGGTGGCGCACGACTTTAATCCCAGCACTGGGGAGGCAGAGGCAGGCGGATCTCTGTGAGTTTGAGGCCAGCCTGGTCTACAGAGCAAGTTCCAGGACAGCCAGGGCTACACAGAGAAACCCTGTCTCAAAACAAACAAACAAAGCCAGAGCACATCAGTCAGCTTTCTGTCCAACACTCCCATGACGATCCTAGTCATATAATAGTAAAAGATATCTTTTAAAGACATAACAAAGACCTAGACGGCTGGCTGTCAGTAGAGAGGATAGGCTGCCATTTTTAGTGCCCTAAAGAAACTATTAGCAGGCAGTGGAGGAGTTTCCCTCCCTGTGTGCTTGTTGCCTTTTGGAAGCCATTGTTGTCTTTTTGTCGCCTTGTGCTTCTCTAATGTCTGTGTGCCCTGGGGGACTCTGACCTAAGTTTCCCTCCTCTGCCTTCAGATTCAGCATTGGATGCACCATCTGAACCAAACTCAACCAGGCCTCGTTCAGGTGCTCTCTATCGGGAGATCATATGAAGGAAGACCTCTCTTTATTTTACAGGTGAATAGAATAACTAACCCAGTATTCACACTGCCATCAGTGTGAACTCATCAACTAACCCAGTATTCACACTGCCATCAGGGTGAACTCATCAACTAACCCAGTATTCACACTGCCATCAGTGTGAACTCATCAACTAACCCAGTATTCACACTGCCCTCAGTGTGAACTCATCCTCTAACCCAGTATTCACACTGCTATCAGTGTGAACTCATCAACTAACCCAGTATTCACACTGCCGTCAGTGTGAACTCACCAACTAACCCAGCATTCACACTGCCCTCAGTGTGAACTCATCCTCTAACCCAGTATTCACACTGCCCTCAGTGTGAACTCATCCTCTAACCCAGTATTCACACTGCCATCAGTGTGAACTCATTCTGTCACCCACCCTCCACACTGCTATCTGTCAGTGTGAACTTTCTAAAGCAAGCACACACATATAGGAAGAGGAAAGAAGGCAGGGAGCTCATAGAGTATAAGGTGTAGCTTCGTCCCTTACACACAGCACCCAGGGACTCCACTAGTCCCCACCTCTGTTCCGCTTCATTTGCTGTTCCTTCTTCAAATACAGTGTCTTCAGATTCTTTCCAGCTCTATGTGTCTTCCTGTAACTGGTTTTCCAAACAGGCTTCCTGTCCTGCTTAAACATTCAAGCCTCCTTTTATAAATCCCCATGCGAAGTCAAGGAAGCATGCCATGTTCCCACAGTAACACATAGATGCTCACATCCTGAAGTTGGATTGGTTGTTCTCACATTTACCTTCTGACCAGCACAGACAGCTCCTGTCTGTTCATCTCTCAATCTCCAGAGCTGAGCCTGACGTCTGACACTGAGAAGCACTTCCGGACACGGTAGTCAAGAGGACTAATGAGTGAATGAAAGCAAGGTCCCCTATGACTATATTGCCAAGTGTTGTTTATTAATGCTTGGGTTAGGAACCAGGGTTAAAGTAATATTCACACAGGGGGATTTATAACTGGACCCTTGGTTCCACAGATCGTTTTATGTTTCTATTTTGTGATGTTTGGCCGTAATTTACTTATAAAGCATCATGCTTTAAGAAATGCCCCTTATAAGATTCTGGTAGGCACGGTAAAGCTAGAAAGAGAAGTGAGCAGGAAGGAAATTTTGCTTTTGACTTAACAGTTACAATAGTATGAAAACAGAGCCGGGATTGCCCTTTTCCTTGTGTATTTTCTAGTCTTTGATTGTATTGAGGCAATAAATTTGTTGTTTCTGCATAAGCAAGCCTGGATTTCCGAAGAAGACAGGAAATCTCTTTATCTTTTTAATGTGTTACCTAATAAACAAAACCATAGTGAAGAATTACCCTGAGCCCTTATTAAATTATGCTGGTCAGTGAATCCAAAAATAAAAGCCTGAGTTGGTGACTATGAATCCTCTTGTTTTCAGCTGGGCAGAAAATCACGAGCCTACAAAAGAGCTGTCTGGATAGACTGTGGCATTCATGCAAGAGAATGGATTGGTCCTGCCTTTTGTCAGTGGTTTGCAAGAGAAGTAAGTGAGACCCTTTACAGAGTGACGGCTCCGGCTAGTCAGGAGTCCCATGGGTTTTCATTCAGCTTGAGGAATAAAGAGGAAATCTAAGGACAGCGATACCTGATTGAATGGCATTAATAGCTTGATTCTGTGGGGTGCTTTCATATTTATGAATCGCTCCATGGTCCTGGATCAACTTGTATTCACCTCTGTCTTCCGAAGGTAGAGTCATCTGCCCCAATTTGAAAAGCTGGGGTAGGAAGGTACTGAGAATGAACCAACTCAGTCGTTAGCCTGTTTGTACCTAGCATGCTTCAGACCCTGGATTTGACCCCGAATGCTGTATAAACTGGGCATGGTGTTGCACATCTACAGTTCTGGCATTTTGGAGATTGAGGCAGGAAGACCAGAAGTTTAAGGTCATCCTTGGCTGTGTAGAGTATCCAAGGCCAGTCTGTACTACTCTATCTCAGAAAGCAAAGACAAAAATAGCTGGGCTCAGAGCTTTTTGAACCTCCAGCCATAGCAGCAAGCAAATAGTAACAGCCTAAAAGTGTAATTTACAATGGTCTAGAGCAACTGTCTTCAGCTATGATGTCATGCTACCGCCCTTCCTATGCTAAAGCAGCAAAGAGGCAAACAAATGGTCAACTTCCCCGCCTGCTGTAAACCTATAATTTGGAGACCAGGAGGTCTCTAGCACCTGTGGCTGATCATTCTCAGCCTATGTCTTCTTTCTGGGGTGACTTTGACAGCTGATGACACAAAGTGTTTCTCATTTCCAAATGCTTTGTTGACTCCTGAGCCCACTGGGCTCCCTTACTGACTAGGCTGGCATTCCAAGGATATAGCGATTCTCCTGGTTTGGAGCTTTCTTAAGTCTTGCTTTCTAGGGGTTCTCATTTTTGTGGGGGTGGGGAAAATCTTAAGAGAAAGCCAAGGGCAACAAAAGTGAAGGGGCCTTAAAAAAATGAAGGTTTGCTAGTCCTGTGTTTACAGTAAGCCATTAAAGGTACAAAGGGTAGCCAAATGTACTTCAGCCATATTTAACCATTGTGTGTGGAAATTGCGACTTCGAGGGCTCTCATAAGCATTACAGAATATATTTCACATTATACAGGCATCCAGATGCTCTAAATTTACATTGCATTTCTCTCTACCCTAACCAGACTTGCAAAAGTATCCTTAATTCTATAGATATGACAGTACTAACTTTTCCTCTTCAAATTATTGAATAACCCTCATTCCTTTAAACACCATTCAATCCCACTGAAAACAAATGCCAATGTGAATAAGAAATCGTTTACTCTATTAATATATCAAATGCTTAGTGTTTAAAAACAGAATATCTGATGCTTCAAATTTGGGGACAGAAAGGAAAAAGGAAAGATGGTTAAGTATGGAACATCTATTGTTCTCTGGCACTGTGCATTATGAGGAGAATTTAAAGAGAAAAATTCCTGGGTTTGATCTGTGGCACCACAATGCCAAACAAAGTGGGTGGAGCAGCAATGAGCAGCAACGCCAATCAGGATCCATCACCACAACGATGAGTAAGAAAACACTTCCTCCCGCACAGGGTGAACGTCACGCAGTCCATGGCTGTGTTTCCGCAACCCTCCCCTCTCTTTCAAACTCTCTGGTCACTGCTGCCTTCTGCCCCTCCACTTGCCCATCTGAATCAAGGTAATAATCAAAAGCAGATGAGAGGAGCTCTAGAAGTCATCCCCCAATGTCTGTGCAGGGCGAATGGGACCACAAGGGATGGTGGCCATGGGGTGACAATGACTAGAGCAAGTCAGTATTCACATGGCATGCTCATCTAAAGGCAAGTATTTTCACCTGTCTTTGAAACTCCCATTACCTGGTATGGGGACAGGAGACATAGGACTGTGGAGATCTAAATAGGCTAAAGCTACCAAGCATTGCTACATTATCTCTTTTGCACTAATTCTGTCCTTTCGTCAAAGTCCTGGTGACAGGCATAGCGGTGCCATCTTGTTGGATCAGGAGAATATGTCTTCCCAGAGAGACGGTCGGGATATGAACAAGTCCCCTTTTCTTGCATCTCTCCACAATCTGTCACTGGTTCCCAAAGCCTGGCTTCTTTGTTGTCTCCCTTTCTTGGATGCCTTTTTCTAAAATTCAGTGTTTGAAACAGTAGTCATTGATTTCTCAGTTTCCGTGGGCCAGCAATCTCACTGAGCTTAGCTAGATGCCTCTGGCAGGATTCCTCACAGAGCTGCAGCCAGGAGTTCACTTGGGGACTCAGTCATGAAGGTGAGCAGATTAAGAGAGAGGATGTACTTCTAAGTTTACTCACACATACAAAGGACCCCAGACCCTTCACTGGCCATCAACGCCTAATATCAGTTCCTTGCCTCGTGGGTCTCTCTCCCTACGGTAGCTTGGGGAATATAGACCTGGCTTCCCTCAGAGTAAGTGGGAGAGAGGGGAAGAAAAAAGATGCCCAAATGAAAAATTAGTCCCATCGGAGTCAAAATTCAGTCTACTGGAAGGGGGAGACACGAGATTGAAGGCAAACTCAAGAGGAAGAGACTATACAAGGAATGAGTACCAAGGTGGAGGCATCCCAGAGGCTCACGTGTGGGGCTTCCTACCATGCCTGAGTGAGCCACACCACAGCCACCACTGTGACACTTGCCTTCTCACTCCAAGATGAGCTACAAGAAAAATTAAATCAACTTCCTGCTCTGATAGAGCAGACACACAGGATTTTACGTGCACATGTGTTATACAACCCCAGTGCTACATCATTTAATCTCTCTAACGTTCACCAACATGTAGATAATAATGCTATGTGTCACACAGGGCCGCTAGGAGGGCTGACGAGTGGAATGCAAACAAGACCCAGAATGCTTGACGACTAGAAAGCCCTTTATGATGTCAACTGCTTGTTACTGTTAGTATCAGGAGTGCAGTATGCTAAATGGCCCACATAAAAGAGAACAACTGGAAAGGAACTCAGTAGGGATATAAAGGAGCTCAACCCTAACCAGCAAAATGCAGTAGAAGATTATAGATCACCCAACAACTGCAGAATACACGTTCTTCAAAGAGCCTGTGGGGTACGTACTAAGAGATACCCAGGTCAAAAAAATATTATGCTGCAACAAATGTAAAATGATGGGTATCATCAGAGTGTGTCACCCAACTACATAGTGAAACCAATCTACAAACTGGTCATAGACAATAGGGAGATTACTAAAAAAATCTGAAAACTACGAACAGTTCTAAATAATCCATAGATTAAAGGACAAATCCCAAGAGAAAAAAATTAAAGAATACATTGACTAGGACACAAATGGAAATACAACATCTTGAAATTTGTGGGCATGGCTAAATCAATGCTAAAAAGAAAACTTAAATTACTGAATTCATGCCTGTTAATGGAGAAGAAAAGTCTCTAAACGACAAGCTATCCAGCCAAGGACCTGTGTGTAGTGAGCAAAATGGGGACAATAAATAAACATCAAAGTAGGGAGCAGAAAGGTAATGAAAACAGGAGAATAAATCAGTATGATTGAATACAGAAAATTATTCGAGAGCAGAATAAGGAAAAAAACAGCAAAATCCTCATGTGGTTGTTAATCTCAATTGTCAAACAAAATGTATAAAGCACCTGGGAGGTGGGCATCTAATCAGGCCTGTGAAGGATTATCCTCATTAGGTTGCTCATAGATGGTAGACTTCCTGAGGCTGGGATCTCAGACTGTATCTAAGGAGATGCTGACCTGAGGACTAGCATTCATCTCTCTGCTCCCTGACTGTGGATGCTCTGTACCAAGCAGCCTCAATATCCTGATGCTAGGCTTTTTCCACCATTATTCCCTAGAGCTGACCTGCAAATAAATCCTTTGTTCTTCAACATGCTTTTGTCAGAGTATTTTATCATAGCAACAAAGAAGTAACTAGACGTCTAGCAAGACAGAGAAAGACATCAAGACAAATTACCAAGACTGGGGATGAAGCGGGCCATTGTGTAGACAACAGATTTCAAAAGGATAATGTAAACTAAGAGTGATGCTGTACACATAAGCTTCACAATGTAGGAAAATGAACAAATTAGCTGTAAAACACAAACTGCTAACTGCTGTAATACACTTACTATAAAATCTATCATTTTGACTCTAGTAGACTCATAGTTTACCTCAGGACCAGGGCTCGGATTCCAGTGGTCCTGGGAATTAGTGTAGGACCAATGCTCTATCCAGCAGTCTGAGTTCAGCTCTGGATCTGGGTTTATTTCCAGAGTCCACTATGGGATGGGGTTCTGACGCCAATGGTGCCAGAGTTCACTGCAGGACTGGGATGTTTGCTCCATCTGCTTGCCCTGGTGATCATCACTGTGTGGCCTGCCCATGATCTTGCTACCACCTAGCCAAGCCCAGAACACCTTGACAAACTCAACCCGGAATCAAGATCAAGTGTCTTTCCTCTACACAGCTAAACTTCATGTAGATAGCCCTCTAAACAGACACAGAAGGGGCTATAGAGATGGTTCAGCAGTTAAGAGCACTGTCTACTCTTCCAGAGGACCAGGGCTTAATTCCCAGCACCCACATGGCAGCTCACAACTGTCTGTGACTCCATTTCCAGGGGACCAAACAACTACATCAGAACACCAATGCACACCGAATAAAAAATAAAGAAAGAAGCCCTGTTTAAAAAGAAAAAAAAAAGCAGATATAAAAATGAAACAACCAAACAGAGTTGGAAAAGGGGAAGTTAAAGTTGGACGTAAAACACGACAAGAAACAACCATATGACACATGACCCATCCCAAGACCCCTAGAATGGGATCCAAAACCATAGAGAGAGCTAAGTATCTAATAATTCATAATCTTACTTTTTAAAAGAATTAATGACCATACAAATTATTCAAACATGCATGAACTAAGGAAATTATCCAAATCCCTACAAAACACTCTCCAAGTAAATGCAACAATTAATAAGTTTGAGGGGAAATGTTCACAATTTGAGGAAAATGAAATTTT